ATCTGTCTATATTTCTGAGATGAGGTATTATGTACACTATTTACATTATTTGGACTATTGTCCTCATCTTTGTTGTCATATTTATATAACGTTTCAGCCTTTCAGTATCTGGGTATATTTCTAAGATGAGGTATTATTTACATTATTCGGACTATTGTCGTCATCTTTGCTGCCATATTTATCACAACGTTTCGGCCCTTCAGTATCTGTCGATATTTCTGAGATGAGGTATTATGTACACTATTTACATTATTCGTACTATTGTCCTCATCTTTGCTGCCATATTTATCACAACGTTTCGGCCTTTCAGTATCTGTCTATATTTCTGAGATGAGGTATTATATACACTATTTATATTATTTGGACTATTGTCCTCATCTTTGTTGCCATATTTATCACAACGTTTCGGCCTTTCAGTATCTGTCTATATTTCTGAGATGAGGTATTATGTACACTATTTACATTATTCGGACTATTGTCCTCATCTTTGTTGCCATATTTATTACGACGTTTCGGCTGTTGTACGCTTGTCTTAACCTCAAAGACAAATGGCACAATGGATAAAGGCGTTAGTTAGTTAGTTAGTTAGTTAGTTAGTTAGTTAGTTAGTTCCATTGACAGGACCAAAGGAGTGTGATTTCAATACCCGGTTTAGGTAGTGGAGAACTTTCAGAGGGAAATTAACAAGAGATATCTGATAATTGACATCCATTAAACATGACACGTGGAACTAGAACAGTCTCCCCTAGTAAGCGAAATAAAGGGTTCGACATTCCAACCACCTGAGGAAGACCGAGGCATACAAGAGCCGAAACGTTGTAATAAATATGGCGACAAAGATGAGGACAATAATCCGAATAATGTAAATAATATATACATTATGTAGGTGTGACAAGACTTTCAGACCACCGTAGAAAAAAAAACCAGCGGGGACATTAATTGTTATTCACTTGGTGTTTATTATTGTAGTTCTTGTCATTGTAGTTCTACCAAAGGAGATTCGTATAATTTGACCCAGAACGAATAAGAAAATCAAAAACTGTTCGAATTGCAACTGAAATTAAGAAAGGCGTGAACCGACATCTCCCTAATACCTAGAGAAGAACTTTTGTCAACAAAATATCATGATGGTTCAAGGAAGAGAGTGGTGTGATTAAGTTCTAACTTAAGCAAATTGCTCTTTTTTAACTACCCGTCCTGGGTAGGATGATAAACTACATCCGCGTCCTGGGTAAGACGATAAACCACGTCCAACAGCAAGGCCTCTGATCAGGAGGTTTTGAGGAGAGTGGAATCACCTCTTAATTGATGGTTTTCCCAGGTCAACCCTACACACACACACACACACACACACACACACACACACACACACATACATATATATATATATATATATATATATATATATATATATATATATATATGTATGTATATATCCGTTTATACATTTCCAATGTTTCAGTCATGTTTATTGTATTTTATTATTCTTATTTTTTCTTCTAAACATAAGTCACACCTTTCTCTAAGACGATTAGTGGTACACGCGGAACCTATAATCTTCCAAACTATCTGTGGACTCAAACCATTCTCCTTCAATTCCTAAAATTTCTTTGAAGGAACTGTCTAGTGTTTTAATTTAGGCTTCGTAAAAGATTGCCTATAGGTGTAAAATCTCTGTTTCCATTCCCTCGCGCAAATTCCAATGTAAACATTATAATTTTTCATTTTTCTTTGGAGGGAAATGTTTGCTTGATATATAACCCTGGTAGATCTGCATTTGCCCTCTACTGGACAATTTTGTTTATATCTACAATTACATGAAGGTTCAATATCAGATTTGTTTTTTATCTCATAGAAATTTGTTAAAATATGGTTATACTAGTCTATACCAGGGTTGAATAAGGCTGACGATATATATATATGATAAGTCCAGTCGAATCCGTTACATTTACTTACGTGCTAATATTCTTGGGAAAGGTATGAATCCTCTTCTTCTCCCCCCACCCCAGTTATGGGTAAATAGCAGGGCAGGCTGGGTTCTATAGCCTTGGATAGCAACTGGTCTAGAAGGACAACTCTGAATTCAAAACTTGCAGTGTCATTTGGGGATCTTTTGGCACACGGTGCACCAGGTCTCTCTATTTGGCCCTTCAAAAAATCTGGTTGGTTCTGCACAAAACCTTCACGACAATAATCAGATCATATGTGCAGGTTGTGTGTCTGTCGGTCCCTAGGAACTCAGTGGCCTGATCCTCATACGTGGTAAAAGGGTCCCCGGTAAGCACGGGTCAACAGCCACGTCCACGGGACAACGATATATGATAAAATAGGTATAGGACACAGGTTCGATTCCCGTCGGTGGACGCATATTTTCTATGAAAATTTCTCGGACATTCAGTACGGTAAATGTTGTTTAATACTGTTTATTATAAACAGAGCATTTACTTAAATATTTGTATCTATAAAAAGAATGTATAACACACACACACACACACACACACACACACACACACACATATATATATATATATATATATATATATATATATATATATTGAATCTGCTACCTTGGTTTCAACCTTACGGTATCCTCAGGTAATTTTTATCAAATAACCTCTTAACGCTTTATTTAGTTTTTTTCACACTAATGAACTCTATATTATTGTTTTAATAAATAGATAGCCACACGACATTGGGTGTAATAAAAAGGGAGGAGGAGGATGTGAAGAAGGAAAAAGTAGAAGAACAAGAAGAAGAAAAGAGGGGAAGAGAAGAAAAGCAAGGGTATTATAAATGGATCGGTGTCGGGAATGAAATGTACATTACTTTTTGTCCAGCCTCATGTGTGCTTAAGAGGAATTTTCTAATATCTAAGCAAGGACTCAGCATTTCAGTTTTCTGGTTCAGAAGGTTCTTTGGATCTGAAAATATCATAATTGGTAATTTTAAATTCCACAAATAGTTAGTTTGGCCAAATTTGCTAACCATGTGTGGAATTTAAAACAACAAAAAAAAACGCACACACACACAACATGAATCCGATTGTAAGGCGGAAATCTTTTAAAAAGGCAAGCCTAATAACACACACATCAATATTTGCAACAACTGTCAACAGGTAAATATTAGCAATTAGAGTAAACTTGAAACCAAAGTAGCGGATTCAACTGACCTCCTGATTGTTAAAGTTAAAAATTCTACATGTTATTTATTTATTTATTTATTGAGACGTGTATTGAGCACTTTTTAATACTCCTGGTTTTGATTCAACTCTGACCATTATATATATATATATATATATATATATATATATATATATATATATATATATATATATATATATATATAAAAATGAATATTCTGTTTCATGCTAGACGCAGTCGTCAGGACTGACGATTGCGTCTAGCATGAAATAGACTGTCGCCTCTAAGTGTTGACTTCTATGTTCACTTTTATATTTACACGCTTTATCTCTGATATTGAGCATTTTATTCCATAAATATAGCACACCGTAAAACTATATTTCTTCATATATATATATATATATATATAAGTGAACATTGAAGTCAACATTTAGGGCGACAGGTTGTTTTCTTGCTAGACGCAATTATCAGGCCTGACGATTGCGTCTAGAATGAAACAACTTGTCGCCTCTGAGTGTTGACTACAATGTTCACTTTTATATATTTACACACGCTCTATCTCTGATATTGAGCACTTTATCCCATAAATATAGCACATCTTAAGAGTATAATTCTTCATATATATATATATATATATATATATATATATATATATATATATATATATATGCGAGGTATAGCAAGACTTGCAATATAGAAAATTATAGAGGTTAGTTAAACTGTGTGGGTGATTTGTCAGTTGATATTTTTTAAATACAGTTGAGGACGTTGAACAGAAAAAAAATACAATTTTTTCTCGGGTACTTTATGGCTGACTGAGTCAGTTCATACGCTAAATCCTGCATTATATTCTTCATTGGTTTTAAGAAAGGACAAACGTGAAAATTCTTCACCTATTAAGACTAGGCATTGTGCCTTGAACGATTTCAGGATTCTTCTTGATGATCGAACATTTTACCAATTATATATTTTAATTTTTTAGCGCTTCTTTCCTAAGTTTCAAATTCTGTTTTGAAATGCTAAAATGTTTGCTGTCTATATTAACTGTTTCTCCAACCACTTATGAAGAAGGAAATAACACAAAAAAGAAAGAAAGAATAAAGTGGAGGAAAGAAAGCATGAAGAAATAAAGGAAATGAAAACGAACGAAAACAGAAACGTGTTAGGAAAGAAAAAGGAAATGGGGGAGGAGAGTAAAAAGAAAGGGAGAAGGAAGAAAGGAGAGGAAGAAGTCAAAGAGTAAAGCAGGAAAACAGAAAGAAAAGAAAAATGACGAAAGAAAACAAGGAAAGAATGAAAAAAGAACAAAAATAAAAACGAAGAAGATATGTGAGAAAAAAAGGAGAAAAATAAGGAAGAAAGGAATAAAGAAACAAAGAATGAAAAAAAGAAAGAAATGAAAAAGAAAGAAAGAAAGTCAAAACGAAGATGAGTGAAGAAAAAAGAAAGACGGAAATAATAAGAAAGAAAGAAAGAGAAGAAAGAGAAGAAAGAAAGAAAGAAAGAAAGAAATGAAAAAGTAGTTGAAAACGAATCAAGTCAGAATGAAGCAAGGAAAGAAAAAATAGTAAAATTAAGAAAAAAGATTGGGAGTAAAGTTAAGAATGAGAGAATAAATAAACGAACGAATGAATGAATGAATGAAAAAATTAATTTGAAGAAACAATAATTTTTTTTTTTTTTACACACGTCATTGTCGTGGTGGGTGGAGTATTGTAAAATAGAAAATTAGCCAAGAATTGAAAACCCGGAATATGTTTTGTGTTCAACAAGGGAACGCTTAAAAACCTGAACATTCATTTCACTTTCTCTACTTTTTTTTCTTTTCTTTCCTCTGTTTCCTCGTCTGACCACTGGTGCATGCCTGCGTGTGTGCCTGTCTGTCTTTCGATCCAATGGAAGTCACATCTGTTGTTATCCGCCATTTTATCCATTTTTTTTTCTACTTTTTTTAACGACCGACAGCCTGGGCCAACGAACCGCTGTCGCTCTGAAATCGTCTGATGAGTCGGGGCGGGCGTTTTGCCAGCCAAACCCGGTCTTTTCCACCCGACCCCACTTAGCTTTGCCCGCCTGCTTCGCTGCCGGAGCGCGATAATCACGCTGAATTGACCAAGAGGCCGGACGAATGGCCGACAGGCTGCTTAGCCGACGTCAATGGACGCTTTTTTTTCTCCCTTCTCCCCTTCTTCACCCGCTGCGATGATGGGAAGGTTGGTGCTGGTTGCAATGCCCTCTTACGCGAAATGACACACGTGATAAGCGCGTATACGTCGCCGATGGGGTGACATACGTGCGTGATTGAGAATAACCCACCGGTCTACTCTCTCTTTCTCTTACCTCTCTCCTCTTTTGGCTCTCAGTTTTTTTTTTTTTTTTGCGTGTTTCTTTATTTTAATTTTTTTTTTATTCTTTCTTACTGTTTGGGCGCGTCTCACTATAAACCAATACGTATGTACATATTTATTGAGCAGAGCCTAATCTGGTTCAAGGCCTAATTCATGAAGCACTCACTAACAATGGCTTCAAGAAAAGATTCCTAACTATTGTTTTATTATAATTGATATCTCAGTCTGATAAAAAACCACAATAGCAAGACACCCAGTGAAATTCGAAGTCTATACATCAGAGATGAGATTTATACGCATGCGCGAGAGTGCCTTGCATAGGTTACTAGTGGATACCAATATTGGAATAGACGCTCCATTATGTTTTAAACACTATTTATTTCGTCTGCCGGCCTGTATAGCCGTGAAAGGAAAAATTTCAGAAGGAACAGCCATTTGAATAATGTGCATTTACGCTCTGTTACGAAGTGCTTCGCAATAAAGTAAGGTTAGATTTTGCGTTAAAAGAATACTCATTGGACCGCATTTTTAGCGAAAGCCCGCATCCGTTCAGCTTCGTATCCCAAACATAAACAAAGCAATTTCTCAAGAATTAATGGATTTGTTTATTTTTTCAATCTGACATGTTCTTATGACTTCAAACGTTGTTTTTTATTGGATAACCGTCACTGAGTCGAGCTAGTTTTATTTTAAACAGTATTTATTTCGTCTACCGGTTTGCTTACTTGCGAACGCTTAAAAAACAAAATGCTCCCTCCGACAGGATTCGAAAATGCGCACCCCTTTGCAGGCGAAACACACACACACACACGCACGCACTATCTATATACATCTACATATATATATATATACATCTATCTATCTATCTATAAAGAGAGAGGGAGAGAAGTTACTTTTACTGGATATCCGGTTAAGACGCCCGCTTTTTAGACATTGTGTATTACGTCTACTGACCTGTGTACACGAGGTCGGATTAAATATAAATCAATTAATTCTTTTTTATATATATATATATATATATATATATATATATATATATATATATATATATATATAACAGCAAAAATATCCAAATCGTGTACCAGCATAATTGTCAATTCCATACAATGTTTAATATCTAAAAAAAGACACGAAACTAATTTTGGTTTCTTTTTTTCAGGTTTTTAAATGAGAAGTTAAGCCATCTTGACACCATTTGTAAGAATCACTGAAAAATCCTTTGAGTTATTCTTCTCGAAAGGGAACAGTTGAAAATCGTTTTGCGTCAGCCCAACTTTCTTCCCAACTGAGCAATGGTGAGAGGAAAATGATAACATACTCTGTCTTCCATCTTCAAAGTTAACTCAAGAACCATCAAGAGAACGGTGAAATCAGTGCTGTATCGAGAAATGCATAAGTCGATACACACATTAGTAGTAATTTATTGCGAAGAATAAAACGGTACTAACAGTCGAGAACACAGTCTACTGGAATAACAATTGACTGTGAACTTCACTTCAGTTCTGTTTAACTTCAGTATTTACCCGAAGCCTCGCTACAAGGTGGGATGTAACACAAGGCCAGTTTTTAACGTGGGGCTATCCGAGCCCGTAGGCTCGGGCAAAAATATCCTGTAGACCCTGGTTTGTCTACTTCCCCAGACGAGACATAGCCTTTTCGGCATAGCCTCGTTTGCGTTCCTCTCTGCCCGGAGGCAAAGAGGTCGACGAGACGTTCTGTTCAACTTCCACTCTCTCAGTAAGAGAGCATGCTATTTATCTTTTTTAGATCCGTCCATCTTGTGGGGCTGATCCGATACTCCACAACATCTCCCTTTTTGAATTTACTTCATCTATAAGTTGTATTTTTGTCTTTTTAGGTTTATTTGTATAATCCTTGACAATTCCCTTTTTCGTTTACTCAACCGTTTTTCGTCCGGAGCTACTAAAGGCATTGGTACCTTGAATAGGTCATAAATAACCTTCATCGGTTCTGTCTTTTGGTTATTCATACCGTTCAAGTGTCTTTTCCTTATCTGGTTGTGATGTCTTTTAACCGTCATTGTCGGGTCTTTAATCATGTATATCAATCACTCGATGTGTTTATTTATGACACCAGTATTTCAGTACTCTTTACTGACCCTATCTTTTTTGAAAAGAATCTTTTCACCTCATTTTTAGGATTTTGTAATTGTGTTTTATCTTCTTGTTTTCATTTGGTAACAGCTTGTCGAATACTGATTTTTTTTCCCTCACGAACATTAATTCTGCCGGTGACAACCCCGAATTTTTACTTGGGTTCGGTGTCACCCGATAGATTCTTAAGAATTCTGGTATCTTGTCAATGGATTTGTTTCCGCCTGACTTTTTCAAAGATCACTTGAAAGTATCCACAAATCTTTTTGCTTGGTCATTAGATCGTGGATAATATCGTGCAGTAGTCAGATGTACAGTTGAAAAAAGGTTACAAAAATCTTTCAACTCCTTTGACGTGAATTGCGTGCAATTGTCCGAAACAATCGGGAACACCGAATTTTGCAAAAAGTTCAGGCAAAAATGTTATCGTACCACTACACGTAGGATTTTTAAATTTTATCACCTCTGGCCATTTAGAAAAACTGTCAACCACAATCAAATAGTATTGCCCCTTTATTAGACCTGCAAAATCAATATGCAGCTTTTCTCAAGGTCTGTCTGTCTTTGGTCAAGGGTTAAATTTCACTGGTGGTGCCTTTGCTGCAATCGTATAACCTCTGCATCTTTTTTTTTTTAGATTTTTTTTCTATATCTTTGTCCATATCGGGACAAAAAAAATAACTTCTCATTAAAACTTTCATCTTCGATATACCAGGGTGTCCAGTGTGAAGATCTTTAAGTACGTTTTTTTAGCGCTTCCGGTCTTACCACCGTGCATATATATTCCATCAGAGATAGAAAAATGTTTTCACCATCTTTCTTTTTGTAATGATGGCTACAAACTCCATCTTAAAATCATAATTTAATGATATTGTTGGTTACTAATTTGCTTCTTTTTTCTCTTGATATACTCGTCTATTTTTTTCTTTGATCCTGATTTTCTCGTGCGTCACAGGTAATTCCCGTATGGTGTTGTATAGCACGCTTTTTATTTCCATTTCTATTTTTAATCCTGTTATCACAGTTTCCTCTAATTGATCACATAGTTTGAGGATTAACCTGGATAACCCCTCTGCTTGAACCAACCTCTTTGGCTGAAGGATCTCTATCTTAAAATTATTATTTAATGATATTGTTCTCCATCTCTGAACTTGAATTGGAACCAAAAGTAGACAATAAGAGTAGATGGTCTGTTTGAAGCCTAACATTTCTTCGATGTATGAATCAATAGAACCTTTTTACAGCAAAAAATACCTCTAAATCACTTTTTCAATTTAACTGTATCCTTTTTCAGCTGGCAATAGGGTTCTTGACGCATGTGCAATCGTTTTTAATTGACCGTTGCATTCTTTGTGCAATATTACAGCTCCTAAGCCCAAGTTACTTTCATCCTCGATATACCAGAGTGTCCAGCGTGAAAATATTTAAGTATTCTTTTTTTTTAGCGCTTCCGGTCTTACCACATGTTCGCCGTGTATATATACTCCATCAGAGGTGGACATTTTTTTTCACTATCTTTCTTTTTGTAATGTTGGCTACTAATTTGCTTCTTTTTCTCTTGATATTCTTGTCTATTTTTTCTTTGATCCTGATTCCCTCATGCTTCACAGGTAACTCTTTTTATTTCCATTTCTATTCTGCTTTTTAAATCAGTCCAACTTGTGGGGGTTCTGTATTACTCCACAACAATTTAGAAAGAAAGAGGAAACAGTAGAGAGGAAAACTGGATCAGGAGGTCACAACTGGAAGAGGGATCATCATATCAATGTAGAAACTATCCAACTCGATCCATAAGATGTTTGGCACGTGAGAGAGGAGTTTCAGCTATGACAGTTCATCAATAGCAGTGTAAAAAGACTTGAAAATGAAGTCGTACGTGAGACATGTTACTTCAGGTAAGAAAGTTTTCAGGTAATGAGAAATATTAGAAGTTTGGCATTTTGTATTGATAAAGTAGAGATGAATAATTTTCGTCAGTCTCTGGTCGAAGTGTTATAAAAACCTTGGATAATTCCAGTAAGATATCTTTAATCATTTCTAAGATACAACGGTTCAAAGCTTAACCTAACAAATGGAAAATTGGTTTTACACTATGGGAAATTTTTGCTGTTACATCGGTAGTGCTAGTATAGCTAATGTCGGCCCACAAGGGTTCCGTCTACACAATTTCACTCACAAGGCTTGGGCCAACCCGTGGTATTGTTTTCAGGCACTTTCCAAAGGTGCCGACCGCTGGGATCGATCCCCCAGTCCTATAGCATCAGCAATATATATGCGCGCCCGCACGCGCGTGTGTGTGCAAGTATATAAAAGAATTCGTTCTCTAATCGAGCAGCATTTACCCACTCACGACTTCAGCACATTTTGTGATTCAGCATTAAGTGTTTAATTTCTATTCGAAAGCTCCCCTCCCCCTGTTTCTAACAAAATTTCTGTTGAAGAGTTTCTTTAATGAATTATTCGTCAGTAGCCGTTGAATGCCAACACACTTTTTTTCCGATTTGGAATAAAGAAAAAAAAGAGTCGATACGGTTTCTATTAGATTATGGTGATAGAAACTTGCGCAGCATCAACCAGGTCTACTTATCGTCTTACTTTACAAAGACTAACGGTAGAAGAAAATAAGAAACAATTTGTTTCCTCTTGTTTTTTTTTGTTTTTTTTTCATTTGTCTAACTTAATCTTTTGATATCTGTATTTAACTAGCTTGATGTTAGCGTTTTAAAAAAATATGTATAAATATATTAGAAAAATAAAGTTGGAAAAACAACGATAAAATTACAAAGAATGACCGATGAATCTCTGGTAGTATTTTTTCTTTCATATTTTAGTCGTTGCGCGTATATTTATATGTTTTTGTCCTCGATTGATCATGAAGAGCGAAGAGCAATAAGCGATTCGCCTTTTTTCATTGTTTCTGTTTTTTCAAGCCACCTCTCTTACGGCAAATCATTTGTCTTTGCTCTTCCTCTGTATTCTATATATACTTTTAAAATCCCAGTTTTAAGGCGGAAATAAATGTTTGTGCCGTACATACTATCTATCTATCTATCTATCTATCTATGCCTGTTCATATCTATCTATCTATCTATCTATCTATCTATCTATCTATCTATCTATATTTCGCAGTCTGTTCATTATCTATCTATCTATCTATCTATCTATCTATCTATCTATGTATGCATGTGTGTATTTTATCTATTTTTCTCTATATATGTGTCTATATAATTCTGTGGATATCTTCATCCACACACGCATAAACATTCAAATGCACATACACACATTTTATTTCTAACTTGGTGTGAGGGAGAGAGAGAAAGAGATGGTGGTGGGAGAGACACTGAAATAAAATAAAAAATATATTTAAATTGTATTTGAAACCATGGAAGCTGTCGAATTAACGTCGTTCATATTGTCACAAAGATTAGGGGGACACGGGGTATGGATTAGTCGCGTCATCTTCCTCCATGGGCCAGGGGCAAAGAGTGAGAAAGGGAAAATCTCTCTCTCTGTCTGTCTCTCTCTCTCTCCTCGTGTGTGTATGTGTTGAGTTGGAGAAGAGCTTAGTTTACTGAAGCTTGACTTCCATTTTTTCCTTCTCCTCATTCCCTTGTCGGCTCTTTTAGTTAATAATCAGCGACCCAGCTGACAAAAAGCGTGCAAAGATGAGGTCCATCGATTCTAACTTCCAGTTGGCAATGTTGCCTACATGAGATAACAACTTATTTGGATTTGCATAGACAAAAGCAAATTCGCCTTTTCTGGTGGCGATGGGCGGTGGTGGGGAAGAACCGAATCTCGTCTGTAACTCGTCTCTTACGAATGACAAAAGTATGTCATAAAAACGGTTTAGCGAAAACGTCATTAAATAGATTTTACTTATACAATATTCAACCCATTCTTATAAGCTTGCGATCCAATCTCGTTAGCCATTCTTTTTTTTGCTCTTCTTTTTCTTCTTCTCCCTCTTTCTCCTCCTTTTTCGCTTCTTCTTTTTCTTCTCCGTCGCCTGTGATGCTCTTTTGTTGGGCGTAGACCTCCACCAAATTCAATGGGAGGATTGGCTTATTATCTTACCGACGCTGACCCAATGTGTGTTGTTAGGGGTCTGGTATGACACGCTTGGCCGTTCATGTCACTTTTCGATTCAAGATCACCCAAATGTATTTACGCTTGGCAAGCGAATATAACGAACCCGATTGTAATTTGAACTCGGCTCTCCAAATTCTCATTCCGAACGGTCATCTATTGCACCATCAAACGTCACTCATCCAAGCTTCTAACACCTGGTATTTGCAAGCGGTCACCCATCTAACCAGGCAGGACGTTGCTTAACTGGTTTTTCAACATGATAAGGCCGTAAGCACGTTAGCCATTACACGGTGGTAAATATTCTATACTGTCGCGTAATGTTACCTAAGTTATTATTCGCTTTTCGTGAGTTGAAGTTCAAACGTGTAAGAGGTCAATTATCATCGATTTAGAAAAGATGTGTGTCTATGAAAAGAAAAAAATGTGTGTCTATAAAAAGAAAAATGTGTGTCTATGAAAAGAAAAAAATAGCGACAAAAAGGATTAAGACAAAGTATATTTAAATATATATTCTATAATCAAACAGATACCAAAATCGATTCATCACAGGCTTTCGGACAATTCCTCCAATGAATCCATATTTAACAAAGCTAAGAAAGACTATGAAACAGCCCTAAAATATAGTGGATTCCCAACAACACTCACATACTCACCACAGAACACAAGAAAGGCCAACAGGAAGAGAAATATCATATGGTTCAACCCACCGTACAGCAAAAAAGTGACAACAAACGTAGGAAAAATATTTTTCAAACTCTTACACAAACACTTCCCGGAATCAAGCACCCTACACAAAATATCCAACAAAAACACAGTAAAATTCAGCTACAGTTGCACCAAGAACATGGCACAAATAATAAAAAATCACAACAGGAAAACTATCAACAAACCTCACGAACAAATTAAACCCACGTGTAACTGCAGAATAAAGAATGAATTTCCCTTAAACTTGCAGTTTGTCCGGATTGAGAGACACATGAAGTAGTTCGGAGAGCACAACAACCGAAATGTTGTGATCGTAACAACAAAGATGAGGACATTAGTCCGATTTTAATTAAGAATTCCTCATTCAAGATTTTCAGGCAGAGATTTTTATTTCATTTATTTGGTGTTTTTTTTTATTATTATTATTTTAAGTTCGCATGAAATGGTTTTGCAGAATATGACATACAGGAAATGTTTTTCCTACATTAGTTTCCGGGAACACGCTCGTGCGCACGCGCACACACACACAATCTTTGGAAAAACTGACAATGAATATAACAGCTTATATTCATAACAGCCATATCTTTTTGTTCTACAGAATTTATAACAATTTCAGTTTTTACTTCTTTCTCTTAAGTTCATAGCGCAGACCTCATTGAGTAACCCTCTGCCTTGAGTGGCACTTGGGCCTTGTATTGGATGAACATTATTTAAAAAAAGTATCTTTTGGTTGCACATTAAGCAGAGAAAATAAAACTCTCAGACAATTTAGATGTTTCTTTTATGTATCGTATCCATTAAGAACATGAGGAATCATGGCCTTCCACGACTTCCTATCCTTTCTAGGACTATATTTATCTCCTTATTATCTTTTCCAGTGATGAATCTGCCATCACTTTAAGCTATTTTGTTCTAAAAGTACGTTCTTCAAAGTTATTTTCATACTTTGAGAATATTTTCATTAATCGTTTTTTAGTTTTCCGCACCCAGCCTTATATGTTAGAAGCCGCTGTCACAACACCTCTCCCCTACCTGCAAATCTATAATGACACCCACGCACCATCAGACAGCCATGTCCGCTGTGAGATCCGTCCTAGAAATTGACATTTAAACCGACTTCTTTTACTAATTTCTATTTCGTTTTCCAATTTGAACTTTTACTGTTTGTTTTGCCCAATCAGTAACTGCCACGTCACTCTTTGCAGTCATTACGAAAGCCCAACATGATGACCTCCTCAAAGGTTCAAAGTCTTCTTTTTGTCTTTGTTCTTATAATCAAAAGCGCGGACCGTTTACCATCACCGCCACTAGCACCAATGTTGAAATTAGAATCATTCCTAGTATTTTCTGATGTGCATAGAAAAATGAGAAATAGCGAAGATGCCTTATAGGCTATTATTATTACATTTGAGTGAGAGATTAGCAAGCTGGTCAAGCACATTCATCCCAGCCAAATGTGTGCAATATAATGACTGGTTCTGATAACAGATGCGTATCATTTTACAGATTGTGCTCAGTTATCAATAACTTCAAGTTGGATAACCCAGTCTGATTAGCATTCGATTGACTGTGTCCCGACTTATTTAGATATAGCTCCAAAGTTGCTTTGGCTGCCTCATCCTTGAAATTAAAAAAAAAATAACAAAAAAAATTTTGAACATGCAGCCATAATGTTTCCCTATTCATGACATTCTTGACCAGGGATGCATAGTGCATCAGGCCCTATGGGACACAACCAACTGGTCAAAGTTAAAAACGGACAAGTAAATAGTCACATTTACTGTAGACTAACTTAACTGACCAAGATAATATATGGCCATGTTAGAACCTCTGATCAATTAAAGATCATGCCTGTCTAGCATGGAGACATTTATTATTATTATTATTATTATTATTATTATTATTATTATTATTTTACTTCCTTTGATTTTTTTTTTTTTTTTCCGGTCCACATTTGCCAAATTTTCTTTCCTTAACTAAAAAAAAAAACTAAACTACAACAACAAAAAATTAAAATACTGATGAATACATAATTTTGTTAGTTTACAAAACCTTAAATCTCATCCGTGCAAAAGATTGTGAGATTAACAAAATCAGAGGATTAATGGTCAGATTAGAGGATTTGCTATTCTCTTTCTGTCTATCAGTCTTCACATGCACACATGACACACCAGGTGTCCAATCTGGGGACACTCAACAAAAAGGTTGTGGTCGGAAAAAAGGTATCAATTTGGTCAATTTGGGGCCAGTGTCACGGAAAAGCTTTGCATCACTGGAAAATGAAGTCGGTTGAATTGAAAGAGCAAGTCTGTTAGAGTTATTAAGATTCTTAGTATCGTTATTAAAGGAAGAAATAAAATTACCATGATAAGTCATTTTATTCCGAGTACTTTCAACATTAGCACAATCTCGTCATCAGGGTCTCGTTTTAATTTTTCTAAGACAAAAAAATAGAAAATTAAATTTTTACGTGTGAAGTGAAAATTGTTAAGGTTATGTACTGTACAATTTTTAATTTTATCATGTAGACACGTAATCAAACGTTATTTGTAATAAAAGAAAAATATTTAAAACTATTAATGTTAATTTTCTTTCTTCCTTTAATAACGATGCTAAGAAACTTGTCTGTAATTACGAGAGGATCCTATTAAAAATAAGTAGACAAAACTTGTCTAAATTATTTAATGAGACATGTCTTAATGATAACATGCTGACAAAATATACGCATATATATATATATATATATATATATATATATATATATATATATATATATATATATACTTTGAAAAGTCAAAAAGCGTATCATATATATATATATATATATATATATATATGAAAAGTCAAAAGCATCTCATATATATATATATATATATATATATATATATATATACTTTGAAAAGTCAAAAAGCATGCTATATATATATATATATATATATATATATATATATATATACTTTGAAAAGTCAAAAATCATGTTATATATATTATTCGGACTAATGTCCTCATCTTTGTCGCCATATTTATTACAACGTTTCGGCCGTTGTACTCTCCGGCCTACAGGTGGTTGGAATATCGAACTGAACCCTTTATTTCGCTCACTGGGGTAGACTGCTCTCGTTCCGCGTGCCATGTTTAATGGATGTCAGTTATCAGTTATCTCCTGTTAATTTCCCTCTGAAAGTTCTGCACTGCCTTAACCGGGTATTGAACTCACACTCTTTTGGTCCTGTCACTGGATCTAACTAACGCCTTTATCCACTGTGCCGTGTGTCCTTGTAATAAATATGGGAACAAAGATGAGGACAATAGTACATAATACCTCATCCCATCCATATATATATATATATATATATATAATATATATATAAAATATATATATATATATATATATATATATATCCGTAGTATATAGGTTTATATATATATATATTTATGATATATATTATATATATATATATATATATATATATATATATATATATATATAAATATTGTTATATTGCACAATGTAATAACTCAAACAATTTCATAAAGTGCTTTCCGTAGTCTAAGGTTTAGTAAACTATTTTGAAATATTTATCTCATATTTTCTATAAGGCATTCATTAAATTTGTTACTTGTTAATTTGTCACACACACACGCACACTATCAATGGAAATTAATGAATTAAGAAAATATGGCCGTAGTCCACTTCAAAGTATTCTCCTTAGATTCTCACACATTTATCCCAGACTCCTTTCCACTTTCCAGTCTGTAAAATCTCTTTTCAAGAAAGTCATCAGTTAGTGTATCGGGTTCTAAATCAGGTTACCCGGTTATATACAGTTGACTCTATAATTTTGGACATAAATACTTGACTTTTCAAATATAAATATATATATATATATATATATATATATATATATATATATATATATATAACCAAGTATATGATTCGTGTATACAGAATAAATTCCAATAACCAAGAATTACTATTCTTAAAAGGGTGCTCAATACATATTTATGTTATAATTTTTTAAATAAATAATTATATATATACATATATATATATATATATATATATATATATATATATATATATATATATATATATATATATATATATATATATATATATATATATATATATATATATATATATATATATATATATATATATATATATATATATATATATATATATATATATATATATATATATATATATATATATATATATATATATATATATATATATATATATATATATATATATATAGGCAGTGAGGACGGATGTTCTTGAAATGGTTATTATACAGCCCCAGGTTGAAGGACATATGTCCGACAGGTACCATTCGGTCTGTGGTATCTTAGCATTTTTGTCTTTTCTGTTTAAGCCATGGCGCTGTGAACGATAGAGCATTGCGTATTCACCTACGACGGTTTTGTAAAGAATAACCAGTCCAGCTTGATTTCGTTTGCAATCTATTCAACACAGTGTTCAGGTCAGCGAGTAGATTTACTCGGTATTACAGGTCATCGAGACATTATAAGAATGAACTATGGGGAAAGCTTGGTAGCAAAACCTGTGGCTTAAAATGTAAGTCACTTGCTGGATCCTCATGGCAAGGCCACTTGATTGGAAGATTGGAGGTTTTATAGAATCGCCTCAGTTGCTTTTATTCCCAGGTTCGCACAAATCCGGGGTGGTAGCACTTGTTAGGTTCCCGACTATGGGCCAAAAGTGAACCTCTATACAAATCAACAGTATATTTTTATAGTAAAATAACCAATAGTACATTTTATGATCTACAAAATATATATCAGAAAAACCCCAAACGTATAAAATCTGGTACAGAGTATCTGCAGTTGAAAGTATAAAATTCCGAACAATTATTATATACCATCATTAAATAACCCATAGAGGTGTTGATATGCCACCAAATAAAATCAACCAACAAAGCAACCAACATGAAAGAACTTTCATGACATTAGTCCATATAACATCTTACCAGTAATCATGTCTACACAGTCGTGTATATACACAAAAGCTGAGTATCACCTACCATGTATTCAATTGTGTAAACAGAATAATATATAAGAATATAATCTATTCTTAGCACGGGCAAGGAATGGCTTGCTAATTTTAAGTTTTCTAAAACGAAACTACACTTTCAATCGTCTCAGAAAATTAAATAGCAAATTCTACATTTTTATTCCTTGTAAAATTGTTTTAAAACTTAACAAAATCTCCCCAAGATGAAATTGCACCTACTGTAGCATTTTCCCTTTCCTGAAATAGGAATTTTATATTCAGACACTATTTCCAGTAAAATAAACTCAAAATTCTTAGAGTATACATGGACAAATAATAAAAATCGGAGTAAACATGAAAGGCACTTCTATGATTTCCCTAACATTGTACCAATTATAGCGCTTGTAATTTTAGCCTCGATTTAAAATGTTTCCAGTGTTATGGCGGCTGTGAGGGGGAAAAAAAGAAAATGATTGTATTTAAAGTTGTCACGTGATTCCTTTTGACTTCAAAAGCAGGAAATTATTTGTTCTCTTCCTAAATAAGAAAAAAAAATAAACGAAAACATTTGCAAAGCTCCTACTTCCGCTTACTATCGATCCCGCCTTTTTCGACGTCACATATTTTTTTTTTCACCAACTTTCTCGCAAGAGACTCATGCGACAATGTTTTCCTTTCTCTCTCTCTCCCCCTCTATCTCTCTCCCTCCCTCTCTCTCTCTCTCTATATATATATATATATATATATATATATATGGTTGTTATTTTTAATTTTTTGCTGCTATCTAAAAATTTTGTTATATATATATATAAAATGAGATAGCACACATTCAGTGTTGGTAGGAATAAAACAGTGATCGATGTAAAATAACAAAGCTAAATTAGTACTCGTGTATACATATATATATATATATATATATATATGTGTGTGTGTGTGTGTGTGTGTGTGTGTCTGTGTGTTGTGTGTGTGTGTGTGTGATAAAATATACTTTTACAAGAGTAGAGCGTATCAAATATAAGAAGTGTGGGCGGTGATGTTAGCAGCAAGTGCCGACAATCTGTTTCATGCGCCATACCTAAAGATTGCGTCAAGCGTGAAACAGAATCATCGCTTAGTATTAATATCAGTGTTCACATTTCATATATATATATATATATATATATATATATATATATATATATATATATATATATATACAGGAGAGAGAGAGAGAGGGAGAGAGAGAGAGTGAAACAAACATTTTGAGCCAAATCAATGAATCAATAGAACAAGAAAACGTCTTAATTATAATAATGTAATATTGTATTATTGCTGTGGTAAAATCATGAAAAAGC